TCTCCCTCTCTCTCTCCCTCTCTCACTCCCTCTGTCTCTCCCTCTCTTGCTCCCTCTCTCCCTCTCTAGTGCTCTCTCTCTCTCTCCCCCTCTCTCCCTCTCTCTCTCTGGCTCCCTCTCTCCCTCTCTCACTCACTCTCTCTCTCTCTCTCTGGCTCCCTCTCTCCCTCTCTCGCTCCCTCTCTCTCTCGCTCCCTCTCTCTCTCGTTCCCTCTCTCTCTCTCCCTCTCTGGCTCCCTCTCTCCCTCTCTTGCTCCCTCTCCCTCTCTCCCTCTCTTGCTCCCTCTCCCTCTCTCCCTCTCTCGCTCTCTCTCTCTCTCCCTCTCTCTGGCTCCCTCTCTGGCTCTCTCTCTCTCTCTCTCTCTCTCTCTGGTTCCCTCTCTTGCTCCCTCTCTCTCTGCCTCTCTTGCTCCCCCCCCCCCACCTCTGGCTGCCTCTCTCATTCCCTCTCTCTCTCCCCCTCTCTCTCTCTGGCTCCCTCTCTCTCTCCCTCTCTCACTCCCTCTGTCTCTCCCTCTCTTTCTCTGTGTCTCATTGTCCTTATGTCTCTGTCTTCCCTGTCTTTTTCATTCCATTCCTCTGTCTCTGCTTCTCCCTTATACTCTTGCCTTCCCTCCTTCCCTTCCCTCTCTGTCTCTCCTTCTCCTCTCTCTGTCTCTCTCTCTCCCCTTTCTCTCTCTGTCTAACCTCCCTCCTCCTCAAATCTGAAGCTCGCTCTCACCACCCCTGCAGCCCAGACTCCAACACTGAACTGCGAAACCAAGTGTGCTGTAAACACAATGTATGAGGAAACCACAGAAATGAAGACAATTAGGGTAAATAAGATCCAGTGATCAAATATAGCTAATTTGTATCCATAATATTTGGGAGTTACACAGTCTGCTTCAATTTGAAAGATATCTTCCAGACCACACTGTTTTTTCTCCGTGGGGACTGCCTTTTGCTTTTAATTATTGAACCTGAAGAATTCTTGCCATAATTTGGGGTTAGCTTGTAATTCTTGAAGAAGAAAAAAAAAATTCTAGTCCACAAATCCTCCTGTATTCCATCACTTCCAATAATAGGCTTCTGTGGCCAAATTGACCATCAATCAGTTGTGTTTTTCAGAAGGAGTGGGTGAAGCAGGGAGAGGAACTGGAGAAACTCACAGCAAGCATGGCCTCAAATAGCAGTGGGGTGGATGGAAACTCCTTGGCAAAGAGCTTTGGCTAAATAAAATGTGTAAGAAAGGTCTCAGAAATAGAATATGCTACAAAGAAAAAGTGAACTCTAAACAACAAGACTTCACCTTCCTTCTTGAAGAGGTGTTAAGCGCCTTTAGGAATTGCTAACACTGTCCACAATTTGAGAAGTGCGTTCTGCGACACCGTCTTGTTGATACTAATCGATCCTTGTGATAGAAGGTGGAGCATGCCCTGGTCCCACCCAGGGGTGCTGGGATGCTTGGAGGACCCTTACAACAAGCGGGCTTTCATTCTCCAAGCAGGGCTTGCAGCAACAAGGACAGCAGCCTGAGCCTCCTCACTTGACACGAGATCGTTTTGCACACACCATCCATGAGCCAGCAGCATGCCATGTGAACCACGCCTTTGCTTTCTACACTCTGCTGCTTCCACATCCGGGGCCTAGACTGACCCTGGAGACTCTGCTCCTCCCCACTCTGCCCCACCCCACCCCCAGGTAGCTAATTCCTTGAGACGATAAACAACTCACCTGCAAGCTCCCACCTTTCATATATACCCCAACCACCTCCCTCATGGGGTTCTCATGCTCTGGGCCACCATCCACCTTCCCTAATACACCCAGGTCTATGTACCAGACAACTAGGGACAGTCCTATGAGCCAGAGCCTGCTGAAATTATTCAACAAGGCCAATCCTCAGCCTGCCTACCCTTCCTTACCTGTTCCTTCCTGCTGAAACCCCAGTAAAGGCTCTGGCCACAGTTCCTCCCCTTCCTCTACCTCCCAACCAACCTGGTGCTTTCATGTGCCCCCATGGCACGGCATGCCCCTCCTCTTTGGAACTGTATGTAATAAGCTACCTCTTCAGTGGTAGCGATCTCCTGATCTGTTGGCCTTATATACCCGAATAAGAATAAAACTCACATTTTAAAACACAGGTCTTTCTAGCCAGAGACATCAAAGACCAGGAATTCATTTCTCAGGAAAAATAGGCTTATTTTCTCGCAAACCAGTCATGTTTTAAAAAGTAACAGGGAACAATAGCATTCCAAATTTTCAGAAATAAAACACTGTTTATCAAGTTGGCAATTTTACATACACGCCCACACATAGAGCTGCAAGAGCATGTCATTGGAACACAGGTTCTCTCATCAATGTTGTGGGAATGTGAACAGGAACAACTTTTCTGGAAGTGTATTTGGTATGAGTATTTGAAGCTTTAAAAATCTGCTTACCCTTTCACCTGGAAATTCTACTTTGAGGAATATATCCTAGGAAGAAAAACAAAAAGACATAGTAAAATGGTTTTCCTGAAAGCATCATTTGTAATTTAAAAGAGCGGGGAGAAGCCTCAACCACTGACTATCCAGGAACTGAGGACTCGGTAAGTGATGGCACCTGCGGAACAGGAGGCTCCATCCTGCCACCACCATGACGACTGGTGAATGTAGAAAGATGTTCACAGCATAATTCTAACTTAAAAAAAGATATTACAGGCCGGGCACGATGGCTCACGCCTGTAATCCCAGCACTTTGGGAGGCCGAGGCGGGCGGATCACCTGAGGTCAGGAGTTCAAGGCCAGCCTGGCCAATATGGAGAAACCCCATCACTACTAAAAATACAAACTCGGTCGTGGTGGCAGGTGCCCGTAATCTCAGCTACTCGGGAGGCTGAGACAGGAGAATCGCTTGAACCTGGGAGGGGGCGGTTGCGGTGAGCTGAGATCGTGCCATTGCACTCCAGCCCTGGCAACAAGAGCAAAACTCCATCTTAAAAAAAAAAGACACGATTATCACTCTATGTTCTCACAAGTAGAAAAACAGATATTTACCAATATCTGCCGTGAATATCTTAAAATCACAAATGTCCACCGCCATTGTCAGTGTGCGTGGAGAGCAGAGTCAGCACCCAGGGACCACTGAAAGATTATGAGGCACCCTGGACCAATGTGTAAAAGGGCTGGACAGGTACATGCTGGGGTGTAAATAACAGTGATTCTTGGATGATGAAATCGTGAGTGTTATGTAGTCATAATTGTGGGAAATTGAAAAAAAGAAATCAGGCCGGGCACAGTGGCTCACGCCTGTAATCTCAGCACTTTGGGAGGCCAAGGCGGGCAGATCACTTGAGGTCAGGAGTTCCAGACCAGCCTGGCCAACATGGTGAAACATTGTCCCTACTAAAAATACAAAAACTAGCCGTGTGTGGTGGTGGGTGCCTGTAATCCCAGCTACTCAGGAGGCCGAGGCGTGAGAATGGCTTGAACCCAGGTGGCAGTGAGCTGAGATCACACCACTGTACTCCAGCCTGGGTGACAGAGTAAGACTCCGTCTCAAAACAACAACAAAAAGAAATCATGAGATATCATGAGTGTTTTAAAATTCTCGTTTGTTTGCTTATGTTTAAATCTAATGTTCCTATAATGAACATATTTCCTTTGTATTAAGAAACACTTTTAAAACATTTCTCAAAAAGCCATTCCTAAGAAATGGAAGGAAAAGTCAACTCAAAAGAGGTATCTACCCGCTCCCCCAAGAGAATTCCATTTTTGGGGCTGTCAGGGTTCTCAGGTCAGTAGGATACAGTTCAGACCACGAGGGCTGACAGTCTGCTTTGCTGAGCGACTATGTTTTCTAGACCAGAGAACAGGGCACAGAGTTTGGTAACTGTGCTTGCTCTTTGGAAGTAAGATCGCCCCAGGGCAGGGCAATCCTGTAGTTGCCGAACTAGTCTAACCTTTGAAAACTGCAGAGACCCATAGGTGGAGGCTTAAAGGAAAATTAAGCCGAAGCAAAAACAAATAAGCAAACATGGTTCTAAACACTGGAAAGATGGCCCTTCATTAAACTGTCACCCGATTCCCTTCAACTCAGCAACATTACGGGGGATCTTGTCTGTGCCAGGCAGAGGCTGGGTGCTGAGGACAGAGAAGTGGATGGGCATGGACTCTGCCTGTGCTCTGCAGGGCCATTGAGCATCTTCTCACCTGGTGGGAAGAATGCAGGCCCTTGGAAGGATGAACGCAGGGAGGACTAGACAAAACAGACATGGAGTTCAATTGTATTGACTGATTGTGAAAGTTAACCACCCTGAGCCTCATTTGCAACCATATCTGCAAAATGGGCATAATAATAAATACGCCATGGCAATGTTGTAAGAATCACACGTATGCAGTGGTGAGGTCCGTGCCTGTCTCCCCATTTCCATGAACTGTTCCACACCCCACTGAACAAATGGTCAGCTCCTGCCAGGGCAGTCCAACCCAGCATTTTCACCATTTAACTTAGAATTACTATTCTAATCAGCCATGGTTCCAAGAGTGCCTAGTGGATGTTGGGCATTAGTATCTGGAAAGAATTCTTGACAGTCTTCGTTTGATCATCTGAATTTCCTAACAGCTGCTCCTGGAACGCTTTCATAACGTAGAATGGCTTGAGCTAGCTGAAAAAATGCTTGTGACATGCTTGCCATACATCTTAACTAATTAGACGGATCTTCACAGCTTTAAAAAAAAAAAAAAAAAGCAGAGATTTGGCCGGGCGCTGTGGCTTACACCTACAATCCCAGCACTTTGGGAGGCTGAGGTAGGTGGATCACGAGGTCAGGAGATTGAGACTGTCCTGGCTAATACAGTGAAACCCTGTCTCTACTAAAAATACAAAAAAATAGCCCAGTGTGGTGGCGGGTTCCTGTAGTCACAGCTACTCGGGAGGCTGAGGCAGGAGAATCACTGGAACCCAGAAGGCGGAAGTTGTAGTGAGCCGAGATTGCGCCACTGCACTCCAGCCTGGCGACAGAGCAAGACTCTGTCAAAAAAAAAAAAAAAGAGAAAAAAAGAAAAAGCAGAGATCTGGATAATTAGCAGAATAACTCTGTATCAATAAACTCTGTATCCATCCTTTTCCTGCCCTAATATCAGAGCAAGCTTGTTATTTTCTATCACATTTTTCTTGGGCATGTCTAAGGAATTTTTAATTGTCACTCTACAGTAGACACTGGCCATTCATGTGGTTACTGCCCAGGAGTGGGAAACAGCAGACATTGACTGACTTGCCACAGGGTTCAAGATCCCTTTCCGGCTTTGAGAGTCAGCATATGAGGCTTCCTCCCTGTGTCTGCCAAGGCTTAGGTCAGATGCAAGGCTCACTGTGTTAGTCCAGGTCCTCAGAGAAGCAGATACCAAGACCTGAGAAATACGCAAGCACTGTAAGGGGAAATACCTCTAAGAATGGGAGAGCCAGGTAAGCCTGGGAGAGCCACCAGGCTAGATGCAAGTCAGACCGAGTGAAGGAGACAGGGGGGCGAGGGTTGGGGAATGTCTCCGGACCACTCCGTAGTCTAAGAACGTTTCTGAGGGGCCATCAGATAGCTCTCAAGCCAACAGCGTCTGTCAGAGGAATTCCCCATTTCCCAGGAGGGACACTGCCTCAGTATCCTGGCTGCCGTAGGAAGCACAGCCTCCAAGGACAGGTGGAAGCCAGTGATGGGTTTCCGAGCCCGCGGCTGGGCCCCTGGGCTCTTTCTGCTTCTGTAGTTGGAGGCCTGTGCTCAGTCTGCTCCACAGGAAGCTCCTCGCTCTCCAGGCACTCAAGCCTTTGCAACCGTGCCCCTCTGTCCCTAGGGTACCTGTGGACACCGTGGAAAGTGCGTGGTGCCTTACCATGGCGCCCGGTGCCTTGGTACATACCTTTGTCTTCTTCTCAATTAAATTCAGCAAATGCCAAGGAGGCCCCAGGCCCTGCATTGGTCCACAGTGCCTGGAGGCGCAGCTGTCCTGGGCACGTCTGGCCCTGCACAGTGAGGAGGAACACGGCCTGAGAGGAGGAGAGGGTGGAAGAGGCAGATGGAGAAGGGAAAAGCCACAGTCACTGGGATGCAGGACACGATGAAACCAGAGAGGGCTCATGGATGCCAAAGCAAAGAGGGTGCTGAGGAAAAGGGGCAACTGGCAGTGGATGCAGAGAAGAAGAGGACTTTGCGTCACAGGCAGGCAGACTCCTGAATTTCCGGGCCACCTGTGAGGCTCAGAGACTTTGAGTGCCTTTGCTCACGTGCACGTGGGGGCTGGACCAGGACCCTTCAGGATCTCATTTTGTGAATTTGCCATCCGAGTCCCCTTTCTGAGCCTTCATTTCTTCATCACTGTGACCTTCACAGTAACCCTGTGATCTCCCGGGATCTCCCTGTGTCTCCCTTCCTCAGCTTTCTCACCAGGTCAGAGGAGCTACCATGGCCCCATCCGGCTAAACCGTCCCTGACCCACTAGGGGAGATTAGATGCCGTCACGCAGGATGGGTCTCTTCGTGCCCAGCAAGACCCTCCGTGAACCTCCACCCCTCATCTGCGGAGGTGCCGGAGGACGTCTGGACGGCGCACAGTATGAGCTGAGCAGGATTTCTCAGGAGACTTCACTTGTGCCCGGGTCAACAAGAGAAGAATAGGCGCAGGACCACTGAGCTTCCCGACACCCCACAGGGCAATGTGCCAGCCCGGGGCACAGCAGGACCTGAGGCGTGAGCTTTGTTCTTGGAGGGGACATGGGGTCCTCTTCACAGGGACCCCACAGCAAAGCAGCCCTGTCCATGGGGGCATCAACAGCCTGCTCGGTGCCAGGCAGTCTGGGTTTGCTCTGTCGGTTCTTTACAGGACGAGACACCTGTTGAACATCAGCCACCATGAGCCTGGAGAATCTTTATTTATTTATTTATTTATTTATTTATTTATTTATTTATTGAGATGGAGTCTCGCTCTGTTGCCCAGTCTGGAGTGCAATGGTGTGATCTCTTCTCACCGCAACCTCTGCCTCCCGGGTTCAAGTGATTCTCCTGCCTCAGCCTCCCGAGCAGCTGGGACTACAGGCGTGTGACACCACGCCCGGCTGATTTTTGTATTTTTAGTAGAGACGTGGTTTCACTATGTTGGCCAGACTGGTCTCAAACTCCTGACCTCATGATCTGCAAGCCTCGGCCTCCCAAAGTGCTGGGATTATAGGCATGAGCCTCCATGCCCAGCTGACCCTAGAGAATTTATGCACCTGTGGGTATCTGTGGTCCCTCCTGCGATGGAAGGAATCCCCAGTCCTGAGGGAACAAGGTTTGGGGCAGCTTCTTCTACTGAAAAATTGGGAATCCCCTGGTACCAGAGAGTTTATCTACCAGGCAACGTAGGGTCAGAGCCCCCAGAGGCACTTTTGGACAAGTCTGTTCACTGCACCACAGGTGTTCAGCCGAAGTCACTATTTTGTACAAGCGTTGGGTAGCATTAAAAATCAGTGCAGGGCAAATGGAATGGCCAGTGTTCAAACAACGGAAAGAGAGCTTCAGCGAGTGAGACTAGGAGGCAAGGCTTCATAAGAGAGAGAATCTCATCAGGGCCTGCAGGGGTAGGTCAGGCTTGGAAATGCACATGGTGGCAAGAGTGTTCACACTAAGATGTCAACCTAAACCAAGGTCACAGAGAACAAAGAGGAGCTGGGAGCATTCCTCATGCCAGAACATGGGTGGCTTCAACACCTGAAACACCCCACCGTTGGAGAGGAGTTCACCAAAACGGAAGAACCATGTTCTGTTAAGATTTCAGAACAGAATTCAGAAATATCATTTCCACCAGGTAGATTCTAATACTGGTGATTTCTGCCCATGAGCACTTGTCAGTGTTTGCTCTGCTGTCTTCCAACAGTTGGTCTTCTGTTCCATTAGAATCCAGCTACATTTTTAAAAATTATTATTCTAGGCCTCAAATTTTGCTACTTCATTGGCATAGAAACTCCCACAATGAAATTTTATTGTTCCCAAATATACTATTCTTGCTGGCTCGATTCAGAAGTTGCAATTTTAAATGTTTTTATTTTTTTTGACATTTTGGGGCAAGCTACCTAGTTTAGAGATATCGCAGGATAAAGAACTTCTGGAACAAAACGTCAGTTTCTAAGTCCTGATAAGGAATGTCTAACAAAAGTACTTTTTGCACAAGGCGAGGAGCTGGCCGCTGAGCTGCAGACCGGGCACCCAGCTTCCTCTCCCTGCTCTGCGCCTCGATGGCTGCCTTTTTCATTGGATCTGTGACACAAGTAATTCTAAATGACCCCGAAGTGTTTTTCTCTCCTTTACATTGTTTGTCTTGAGGGAGACTGGGTGTTAAAGATAAGCCAGGCTTGGAAGCATGGCTAGAACCAAGTGTGACTAATCGCTGCCAGTCGTGCAAGGAATACTTCTTCTCCCATATGCTGGGCACATCCCTCCCCTCATTCTCTGCTCGGTCAAGTCCTGCTCTCCAGTCCCCACCCACCGCCAAGCAAAGGCCTCCAGTGGACAGGAAACTGGGCTGGGGCCACAGCAGCTCCCCAGTGCACGGTGTGGTGTGTCCAACCGGGGCCGATCCATATGCATGTCCTCTCTGCCAGCTGCTGGCTCCTCTGGTTGACTCAGCTCCTCCTTTGAGGTGTGTGCTCCTCTATGTTGGGGGGAAACACGGTGTTCTCCTCTAAGCTCTGCCAGGAACACACACTGGGTTTATTGTATGTCAGTGGCTTCCGGGCATCCAGTTTCTTATCCATAAGAAAAGAAGGCTGGCCCCTATGAGGCGTGCCCTCCCTCCCCAAGTCCATGTGTACGGCAGACATCATCCGTTGATCACGTCCCTGGGCTCCGACGTGAACTCAGACTCCTTTTCAACCCTGGGTTCCAGGCAGCCACCACCAACCCACTGCTATTGGCTTTTTTAATGAAAGTAGTTTGCCATTCTGGGGCTAAGCTTCCTTTCAGATCTAACAGTCTATGACTGTATGAAATGAATGCAACAGCAATATGGCATTAAGAACAATGGGCTAGACCAGACAATCCTGCTATTTATATATTCCTTTTTTTTGTAGTAACTTCAAGTGAAGGCTGATTGGTTTTTTTTTTTTTAAAGACAGAACATACTTTTATTTGAAGTAAAATATCTCCAAATTCATTTATGAACCTTGATGCTCTTTTGTAGGACAACAGAATTTCTTTGGTCTTATATTTTGAACTGGATTCCAAATGAGAGCCAACTTTTTAAAAAATCATTTTGTAGTTCAGGTGACTGATATCTGGTTATGTTCTCCAAGTCCATTTCCTTCTTCCCTTTTGTAAATTTTACAAAATTTAAGCAATCAGATTAGGATGAACAACTGATGATGAATCTTTCTTTGGTGAAATGAATTCAGTAGATCTAGTAGCCCACTCACGTGTAAGACAGGGGAACAGAGTCCTGGGTGTCAGGAACTATCAAGCCCCACGTGGGAGCTTTAGGCTGAGAGTCTTGGAGCCTTAGAAAGATAACAGTCTTACTGTGCTTTGGCCACGTCATGGTCTTTGTCAGTTGGCATGTGTCTCTATAGGACTGTAAGTTCCTCGAGGAGAGAGACCCTGCTTGAGATCAACCAAAGAACTGTGGATAAATTGGTTTTTGAGTGAATCTTCTGTGTTCAGGCCTTCAAGAAGCATACTTGAAAATGTATTGGGGGTCTTAGAAGGCAGCCTATAGTCTATCTGGAGAAACATACTCATCACTGTCAGGCAGCGGAAAGATCCCAAGAATTCTTTCTTTCTTGGAACACTATTCCTGGAAAAGTGAGCCTGAATATTGCTTCCAGGCCTGACTGCAGTTTCTATTAGGCTGATCCAATTTGCAGCCTCTCCAGCAGGCACTCAATGTCCCAGGGCAAGGAGGGGGCGCTTCTTTGAAGAATCAGTATCAGATGCTGAGGCCATCCCAATCATTGGCCTTTGGGCAAAACGCATAAACTTGAAATGGCAAAACTTCCAACAAAGTTCATTAGAACATCTGGGCACCTTATCAGGGATTTATCAAGCTTTCCAGAGTTGATCCTAGCCTTGTTTTAATGAAAATCGCCTGTTGATGAACAATTTATGCCAAGAATTTTTCCTTGTCTTCTCCTCTTTCTCCTTCTGCTTCTCCTTCTTCTCTCTGCACGTCCCTGGCTTTTATCACGGCAAAAGTTAATTCTGAAATAGTGAACAAGCCTCATATGTCCAGGCCTGCTACATACACTGTTATTATCAAACATTTGTGCTTAGGTTAACCACTCTATGTCAACATAAAATAAGTGTAGTGGACATCCATCATCACAGCTTGAACTGGGGAATTGCATGAGGTTGAATTACCCTCTACTTTTGCAACTGGGTCATTGGCCAAGATAACACAACCTTTCAGTCTTCATTTGTATAAGTTAAGAAAGATCGTCATATGTTTTACTGATTTTAAAACTGGTAATTTTATACTAGTCACATATTTCAACTAACTGTTATTCCTCTGTAATTGTGCCTTAAGATGACTTAACCCTAGAAGTTGCAATTATAAAATTAAAATAAATAACGATATTCTGACAGAGTACTACGCATCATGTAAATCAACAAGCTTTGTTCATAGCCTTGGGGAAAAATAATGCTCTTTGAATAATCAAAATGCTATTACCATAACATTACCATACACTTTTATTTCTCTGCTCTCCCATGACTCAGTTGGTATGTTTGGTTGTTTTTTTTTTTTTTTTTTTTTGATTCCTTGATTTACATGAATAAATTAGCTTACAATGGCAGCTAATGAGACAAAGAAAGGGGATACTGTTGCAGGCTAAGTGAGGGGCAGCCTTGGGAATGGAAATTCTCAGAAAACTCTCCAGGCCTAAAGATAGAAACTCTAGAGCCCCAGCGGTCCGGAAGACAAAAAAGATGCCCAGGCCTGGAAAGAGGAGTCAAAACCCAAGGACCTGAAAAGCTGGTGGATGGTAAATACATTTTACAGGAGGCCATTGGTTTGGACCAAGCTAGGCCCCAGCAGACCACACCAAGCCAGAATGGAGTCCCTTGTGCTCAGTGCCACATAATCAGGCTCAACTTTGAAACAGGTCGGTTTTCCCAAAAAACCCAGCATATCACAGTCAACCTGAATCCTGGTAATAAGGAAGTCCCCTCTGTTTTAACCCTCGAAGGAAAGTAACTTAGAAGCACCCAATCTGCTTTTTTGTCCCATCTCTGCTTTCTTCAGGCCTTTTCTGCCTATAGAGCTAACCACCTCGGGCTGGGCACAGTGGCTCACGCCTATAATCCCAACACTTTGGGACGCCGAGGTGGGCAGATCAGCTGTGGTCAGGAGTTTGAGACCAACCTGGCCAACATGGTGAAATCCTGTCTCTACCAAAAATATGAAAATTAGCCGGGCGTAGTGGTGGATGCCTGTAATCCCAGCTACTCAGGAGGCTGAGGCATGAGAATCGCCGGAACCTCAGAGGCGGAGGTTGCAGTGAGCCAAGATTGCGCCATTGCACTCCAGCCTGGGCAACAAGAGTGAAACTCCGTTACAAAACAAACAAACAAACAAACAACAACAAAAAAAACTAACTCTCCTGCTCATCCCATTGGAGCACCCATTCTACTTTACAGAAAGTGATGTTGCCCCATTCTAGAATCACAAACAAAAGTGAATTCCATCTTGGAACTACACTTGTGGTAATTTTGTCTTTTGATAATGGGGTCGAGGAGAGGGAGGGATGAGTAGCTGGAACACAGAGTATCTTTAGGGTGGTGAGACTGCTCTGTGTGATACTACGGTGGCGGATAATGTCATTAGGCATTTCCTGAAACCATAGAATGTATTAAATATAACTCCAAGACTGAGCTGGAATGCACACCGTGTGCTCTGAGCGATAATGATTCGTCAGTGAAGGTTCATCCATTGCAAGTCACATCTCACGGGGTGGGGATGCCAATGGTCGGAAAGGCTGAGAGGGGGACAGGGGGTGCACGGGAAATCTCTGTGCTCTCCCCTCAAGTTGTGAACCTAAAACTGCTTTAAACAATAGACCCTATTTAAAAAATTGTGTACAATGGGATCCATATTTCCACAGCTGTAGATTTCGCATTCACTGTCCACATGCAACAGAACAGCACTGGATCTTTCATTTGGAGACCACTTGCCTTAGAAATGAAGCTTTCGAGTCAGATGAGAACATCTAAACCGGGGGCTTTCTGCTGGCCTCCTGGTTACATCATTAGGATATTATCGTAATGACACACAGCGGCCAAACACATTCAGTCACTCAGCTTGAAGTCTGTGCTCTTTCTCCTCACTAAATCCCAGCCCTAAGGGCAGAGTCTGAACACAGGCACTTCCTAGTCAGCCCTAAAGAACCACATGGTGGTGCGGCATGGTGGTTGGGATGAGGCATTTAAAAGACTGTTTCTCTTTTCAGTCACGGGAGAGTGGAAGACATTTCCAGTTAGTTAAATGAAGCACAGAGGCTGAGCCAGAGGCAGCATTTTTCCCACCTCCTTACGTTTTCTAAGAGGGAATGAAATTTCCACTACAGTCCTCTGGGGAAAAACTGGGGAGGAGTCTTGCGGCTTCTCTCCATCCCTCACCCTCTCCTCCCCAGAGAATGGCAACCTCTGTTTAATGGGTTCATTTGGGAGAAGGAAGTAAGGGCAAGCGCACCGCTGCCTATCCTGGGCTCCCCATCTTCAGGCCCGGTCAGGGGTCCTGCCTTACTCTCTCCAGCCGGGTGAGGGATGGCACTAGAACTGTGTCTGAGGCTCACAGGGAGTTTGACCTTTACAGGGTTGTTATTTTTTGTTTGTTTGGTTTTTTTTTAGAGGCCCTTGTGGCTGCTGGTCCTGCATTTTTCAACAGCGCTAGCAGTTTTTCATCTCTATCTGATTCTTGTAATTGCATCCAATATCTCGTGAGCCTAAAAATCACAGCAGGCTAAGGTGGAGGGTTGAAATCTACGTACAGAAAATGGTATGTCCACAGGTCTAGCAAAAGAAGGAGGGCGGAGCTCATGCCCAAGGACCAAAGAACACACAGTCCTCCTCTCTGCTGTCCCTCTGGCCCAAGGAAGAGACAAAGGATGGAGGAAGCTCCTGGCCTTCTCTACTCAGGGCCTTACTTGTTCCTGTTGTGTCTTGCATGTACATCTCTGTCTCCAAGCCACATTTCCAGAACCTGCCAAGCTGGTTGATGCACTGTCTTCATTTTATTCTTTTCTTTATTTTTAAATTCACTTTTAAATTTCATACATAACGTACAAATATAGTCTCACTATAAAAATGTTAAATCCTACAAAGTAAATATCCCACGTAAACTTCCCCCCACCCCCGCTCCATCCTCCATCTTAACACTTTTCTCTGAGAACCACCTGCTGCAAACATTTCCTGAAGACCCACTGCAGGGGCCCCTGCTGTGATGAGGCCCACCTCTCCAGAACACACTGCCTCCACCCCCTCTCCCAAGCACCAGATTCAGCTTATTTAACACCCAGTGCAGCTACAGCTTATCAGAAACATATTGACCAAATGCAGTGTGTGAATCATTTTTGGATCCATGATTCAAACAAACAAACAGATGGGACTGGATACGGGATGATGATCAGGAATCATTGTTAATATTGCTGACATGTGACAAGGGATTTGGGTCTTTATATTAATAAGTCCTTGCCTTTTAGATATATAATCTGAAACCTGTATGACTGAACTTCTGTGAGGCCTGGAATTTGCTTCAGAATGGTACTAAGCAGGGGGCAGAAGCTGGGGGTAAAATTGAAACAAGCTTGGCCATGCGTGGATAATTGTTAAAGCTGACTGTGGGAATCTGGAGGTTTTCTTTTGCATGTGCTTAGAATTTTCCATAATAAAAAAAAAGCACAAGACCCTGCCTGCCCTGGCCGAGTTTCGCTGATACAGTCCTGGGGAATGAATCTGTTCTTGTCACCCTCAGGACCTCTGGAGTTGGGGACAGCTGACAGACGGGGAGGGCTGCTGGCAGGTGTGGGCACTCACCCAGCTGAGAAGGGGCTGTGGGAGTGGGAGTGGCCCTGACCCCATTAATGAAACTGGACTACTCTCCACAGCGCGCCAAGCTCAGGCTTGGACTCAGATGGAAAACATGAACAGCATCCTTTGCGATGACCCCGCTTTGAGGTTCCCGTCATTTCATTGTAGGACGAGGTTCCCACACCCCGTCTTAATTTGAAACATTCAGGCACATCTCTTCCCCATTAGGAAGCAGCGGAGAGATGAAGGTCTTAGAAGCAGCCTTGCTCTGATTGCACGGTGGAGTTTCTGCCCCGGAACGTGGGCGTCCTGACACATGGGATGCTAGAAGCAGATGTGGCTGAGCAGAGCTTAGGACTCTGCCCAGGAGTCAGAGATGATTGGGATATTTACTTTGAAAAGTAGCCTCTGTAGATGGGAAATGATTAATTCGCTATGAGGAATTTTATATTCTGCAGGGTGATACCCTCAGGAAAGAAAGGGCCTCTTTGAGAAAGCCAGATTGAGAAGGTTTCCCTCGGTGTCCCAGCACATCAAAGCCCCTTCCTTCCCACAGTCACTTAATTGTCTGCCTTCACAAGAAGGGAGGCAGCAAGGAGGCCAGGGATGGGGAGAGGGAGAGAGGGAGAAAAGCTATTTTACCTGCTCTGGAAAAGTTGTGGATCATCCAAGGACATTAGCAAGAAAGTGAAAAGACAACCTAGGGAATGGAAAATATATATTTAGAAATCATATATCTGATAAAGGTTTAACATCCAGAATATGTAAAGAATGCCCACAACTCAACAACAGAAAGACATACAACCCAATTTTAAAATGTGCAAAGACTTTGAATAGACAGTTCTCCAAAGAAGATATACGAATGGCCAATAAGGACATGAAAAATCAGCATCATTAGTTCCTAGGGAAATGCAGATCAAACCCCAAGGAGATGCCACTTCACACCCACTAAAATGACTATAATTAAAGTTCAATAAAAAGTGGAAAACAAGTATTGCTGAGGATATAGGGAAATTAGAGCCCTCATACTTGCTGGTGGAAATGTAAAATGGTGCAGCTGCTGTGGAAAACAGTTTGATGGTCCCTCAAAAAACTAAACAATGACCATATAACCCAGCAATTCTGCTCTAAGGAATATACCCAAACGAATTGAAAGCAGGGCCTTGAACAAATACTTACCCATGTCCACACAGCACTGTCCACAATGGCTGACAGGTGAAAACAACCCAAGTGTCCATCAACAGATACATGGAGAAAGAAAATGTGACACATGAGTACAACGGAACATGATTCGACCATACAAAGGAAGGACATGCTGATGCATGCTACAACATGGATGCACCTTGAGAACATCATGGTAGGTGAAATAAGCCAGGCACAAAAGGACACATAGTGTATAGTTCCACCTCCGTGAAACACCTAGAATAGGCAAATTCACAGAAACAAAAAGTAGATTCAATGAGGGAGGGGAGCAGGATAGAGAAAGGGAGGAGAGGGATAGGGAAAGAGAGGAGCCGGATAGGGAAAGGGAGGAACGGGAAGTCATTGTTTAATAACCATTAGGCAGGGTTTCTGCTTGAGATGATGCAAACATTTTGGAACTGGATATGGGGACAGTTGCACAGATTTGTGAATGTAATTAATGCTGCTGATTGTACACTTAAAAAATTGTTAAAAGGGCCAGGTGTGATGGCTCACACCTGTAATCCTAGCACTTTGGGAGGCCAAGACAGGTGCATCACCTGAGGTCAGGAGTTCAAGATCAGCCTGGCCAACATGGCAAAACCCCATCTCTACTAAAAAATACCAAAATTAGCTGGGTGTGGTGGCAGGCACCTGTAATCCCAGCTACTCGGGATTGAGGCAGGAGAGTCGCTTGAACCCAGGAGGTGGAGGTTGCAGCAAGCTGAGATCGCGCCATTGCACTCTAGCCTGGGAGACAGAGCAAGACTCTGTCTCAAAAAAAAAAAAAAAAAAAAAAAAAAATATATATATATATATATATATATATTTTTTTTTACCACCATTTTAAAAAATGAATAACATCATATGCCAAAAACCACTTAATTGTGCACTTTATATGACTAAGTTGTAAAGTATACAAATTATATCTCAATAAAGGTGAAAAATAAAAACAATTCACAAACCACACACACACACAACCCTCAAAAAAGTTGTGAGTCCTCACTCAGGCCCACGCCGATGTCTACCAAAGATGTGATTTTCAGAGCGGACGGAGCCGCCCGCACCCAGTGTTAAGTGAAGTGGTGGCACCTGCAACGGGGCTGTTTCGGATCACCACGAAAGTGGCACGAGCACCTCCCACCACTTGTGTCAGCCGCGATTGGCCTGTGCTGTCCTGCGGATGCCAGTGGAACTGGGTCTTAGCTGTAGCATGTGCCTTCACGTCTTCACAGATCTTCATAGATCGTGTCTTCAGTGTGTGAGGGAAACGGTTCTTCCAGCATCTTCTCAGCCCCTCTGCAGAGGACATTGACCAGTGTTTACAGAACCCAGTTTGAGACCCTCTTGGTGAATTTGGACAACTGAGCCATTCACTCTTCCTTATAAAACATGAGCAACTAGGGGGACAGCAGACACTTTCGAAGACTTTGGTCCCCCTCACATAGTGCAAGCTGAGTGGGGAGAAGCTAGGAGCCCCCTGCAAAGGAGGCTGCCATCTCAACCTGGATCCCGCAGGGCCTCCCTGGCCTCCCCAGCCTCTCCCCACAGCCTCCTCCTGCCCATGCTCCAGCCTCACCACCTAGCACTTTTCCCTAAGCGGGCACAGTGTGCCCCACCCCCCCCCCACCAAATGCTCCAGGCTGTCCAGGAGTCCTTCAGCCTGAAAAACCCTCCATCCCTTATCCACTGACTTGACTATTTCTGGGTCTCAATCCACTGCTACCTCAACTTCGAACCCTTTCCAGACCCTGACAATCTGAGTTAGTTGATCTTCCTCTGTGCTCCCACCTTTGACATAGAACTTACGTTGTCCTTGTCTATCTCTATTTGATCTCTGAAGTCCTTGAGGACAGGGGCTGTGTGTGCATCTCTGCATCCCCATTGCTTAGCACAGTGATTGACACACAATCAGCTCTCACATGTTTGTTGAATGAATGAATGAATGAATGAATGAATTAGCAAATGGCAGGACCACCACATCAGACAACCCAGGGGAAAACACTCACATTGAGGGCGCAGGAGACAGTTGCAAATGTAAGTACTGCCTAGAGCTGTACAGCTGGGAGATCTTGAATGATTGCCTCTTTATATCCCCAAGTAGAATCCCATCCTCTGAAGACGGTAGACAGGGTGTTGTACCCCCAGCTTTCACGCTAAGATGGCCACTTGTCCAAGATCCTCCAAAATCATTCTTCACTGGCCAGTCCTGGTGATGCCTGTTCCTACATCCCACTTTGGAGATTCGATTTTGACTTCCAAGGGTCTCCAGAGAGGGTCCTCTCCTCACTCTGTGCTTGTGTGCTGGAAGCGGCAGAGGCAGGGCCAAGGGAGGGAACTAACTTTTGATTCCTCCGTTATCACGCCAGCTTCTTCAAAGTGCCTCACTAAAATAAACTATATTTTCTAATTTTCCATTTTCGGAATATTACATTTTTATGTGGACAGCAATACCGGTGATTGTGCTCCTAAATTTCCCTGAACGGTCCAGAGGTCATTCTAATAACATACGAAGTGTATTTCGAAGAGTCCCCAGATCAGAGCAGCTTAACACTAGTGGATTGTCAGCACGAATTCCTGCTATGTATTTATATTCAAACTTGAAATTTTCCGCTAAGATTTCCAAATGCATCTCAGAGTCTTTGGCTAACACCAATTTGTGCCCCTTCGTGCTAATATGGAAACTACAATCAACTGAACATTTATCGTGTGTGTGTGTGTTCTTTTTTAGTAAATGAGTATATGTTGGAGTTTTTTTTTTTTTTTTTTTTTTTACTACATAATAAAAGCAACATAAAATGAATTTGCTGCAGTGCTTCCTCACTCTTTAAAACTCCATGCCCCACCTGCTCGTGCTATTCTTTACGTGGCATTCTGCCCGGACAGTAACTAGGTTATCAGCCGGGCGATGGCAGGAGCCTCGGGCCTTCGCGCTTCAGTCGAGCCTGCGTGTCCCACGGGGGTCCGCGCGGCGCTGATGGAGACCGGGATCAGTTTGCACCCCCAAGGGGGCTTGGCCACTCTGGATATTGCTTTTATAGACTCCGGTTGTGTCTGACTCTGTGTTTTTTATTACATTCCTTTGCAATTCTAGCAGCTGTTTTTGTCAAGAGTCTTAATAAAGTTTGAACTGCTAAACGAACTTTATGGAAATGGGTCACAGAAGAAGTCTATGCGGCACCTTTCAGAAAACCAGGGGTGACGTCGCCCCCGGGCTACCTCCGCGGTAACAGTAGTGACAAATAAACCTAACAGCGCGGGGGAAGGGTGATGGTTTGGCAACCCACTTCTCACTCGATTTCTGAGAGACCACCATCCACACACACTTAGTTCCTTTAGCTCTGTTTACCGCAATTTATTGGAAACATTTGGCTGCGTGGCTCAGATGGTGAAGTTGCTTTAAGGACCTTTACAGAGAGTCAACTCATGTTTGGCGTTTTGTTTTGCTTTGGGTTTATTTCATGTTGCTTTCCAATTTTATAAACCTAAGACTCGGAATAATTGGACTTAGAAACTTTCTATGAAAGAAAAATAAAGTGTCTGAGATACTCTCAGTTTATCTCTCATTGCTTAATTATACTAAAATATTGGTCGATTTTGTTAAGCATATCAATTTGGCCATGAAGTTAACTTGATTTGATGGCATCTCTAGGAGCCAGTGAAAAACTCAAAACCCATTTTAGACTTGCCTTAGGTATAATGGTTTACCATCCACTTCACATACCGATGTTATGGAAGAATAATTCACCAACAGACCAAAACTAACCATTCATCAGTTTGGGGTGTGACTTCATCCATTTCCATGATTAAAACAGACCCTAAAAGCAATAAAGCAAACTGTTTCAGTAGCCTCAGCCCGGTAGCTGGATACCCACCATCCTGGATATTCCTGGATTATAATGTGTCCTTTATGAAACATCTCTTTGAGAAATTGGTGTTGCCACCAAACAGAGTTAGTTATTAGCAACACTGCAGCTAGTTGAAATAAAATATTTATACGTAGATGACTCAGTGACTCACCTCAGACTTATGAAGTGTAAAATACAGAGGTCAGGTTAGATGGTCTTTAAAGATCCTCACACCTCTAACACTGGGGCTTTCTAGAACGCAGTGAGAGTTCTAGGATGAGACAAGATAGCCACAGCGGGGGAGTCGCACTGGGCAGAAGGCACTGGTAACAGGGTGCTTTCACTGCGGAATCAACAGACGCTTCAACCGTTCCAGGTGGGCTGCGGTGAGAAGCAGGTGACACCCAGGTGCAGCTGGGTCAAGCTCCAAATCAAACCAAACTTCACAGAGCCTGTGGCTCCAGGGTCAGCACTCACATCCAGCTTCCTCTCCAGACTGTTGAGAACTGCATCTGAGTTTAATTTGCTTTTGTCTGTCAGAATCGATTCCAACAAAAAGGAGAGGGAAAATATACTCATGGTGAAGGACCCCACATCCTCTGCGATGATGTCACAGTGAAACACTCCTTCGAGATGATTGACAGTTCCGTTCTCAGTTACCAGCAGCGAGAGTCGGTGGACACTTCTTTATATTGCTCTTGCTACTTTAAAAAAATGGCCCGATTCCAACCACTTACTTATGTTCTGATACCCTAACGCCTGTGCTTCAAACAGCAACCGAATCTGCCTCTCATTACAATGACCTTCTTTACTTCCTCCTGTCCACATCGCAAAAGCACCCTTTCCGTTAACGACCAGCGGAGGGTGCTGTTGTATTTGGTGTGTTTCCACCTTCCCCCACTCTCAGGACATTTTTTCCCCCCTAAGGGAAAAGGGCTGTTTCCCATAGTAATGTGAACATGATGTATGATAATGAAAACAATAACTACATCAACATATTTTCCCCAGAAGTTTTTTTTTTTTTTTTTTTTTTTTTTCCAGAGCGTGAATGTAGGGCTCTTAGCTATAAGATACTAAGATAAATGAATGGACTTTGGAGAAGTGTGGAAGGTATTGAAAAATACTTTCAAGATGGACATGGGCTTTGCAGACCTTGTAATTTAATGATTTTGACTACT